AGGTACTAGTATTTCTTCAGACAAAAAACACACAAACAAAACTGAAGAGAAACTATCTCTAGTCACAGCTAACATTGTATCTACTTGGTAAATCAATGAAAGCACATAACAAAAACAATAAAGATTTTCAGTAAGGTAACAGGCTATTAAAATACAAAACTTGAAAGCTTTTCTCTGCACAAATAATGTTAATGAAGATAAAATTTAGTAAGGTAATAGGCTATTAAAATACAAAAAACAGAAGCTTTACTCTGTGCAAATAATAGCTATTTAGATGATATAAAGGAAGATAAAACTTCAGTTACATTAGTAATAAAAAGAGAACTTATTTAATATAAACATGGCAGAAAATGGATGAAACCTATATGAGGAAAAATGAAAATACACCTGAAAAATACAAGACTTGAATGTTTGCAGATTTTTCCTGTTTTTGTATAGCATAAGCAAACATTATAAAGCTATCACTTAATCCCATATGAAGAAAAAATTTAGTATAATTACACTAAAATAACTAAATAGCTTTATGACTCTAGGCAAGGAGATTTTAAAGTTTCTATATATATAGAAAAATAAACATTGAGATGCCTTGCAGATCCTAAAACAAATACCTGAGAAGGAACTAGCCTTACCAGATATTTATACCCAGCTTCATGAAAGTAGGAATACAAATATTATTGACATTTCACATACGCAATTTGATGAGTGGTACAAAGATGCAAACCCATCTGAAGCTGTCGTCATACTCAAGGCATGAGACATCTCCGTCACCCCCACCCCGGTTCCTTTGTTCCTCTGTGCTTGTATTGTGGGTGCACCCGTGTGTTCAGGGAACTTAACCTGAGCTCTGCCCTCCCAACAAATACCTTCCCAGATAGTAAAACATGCCATAAAGCTTGTATAATTAGCACAGTGTGGTATCGCTGCGTGAACAGATAACGGCAGAGAAGAGAAAGCTCCCAGATACACAAAAGTGCACACAGAAATGGCACAGAGCAGGTTCTCACTGACACGCCAGGTTACAGGAGAAAGCGAGGGCACAGTGGGCTCTAGGAAAGAACACTGGTGCCATCCTGTAGATTTTCAAACTAGGCAAATTTGGCATAATTTTCACATCACAAAGCATTGCAGTTTTTTTTTGTGTGTGTGTGGGGATCAAATCTAGGGCTTCCCACAAGCTGGACTAGTGCTCCACTGCTGAGTTCAAATCTTAGCCCCCAAATAATGATGTGAATAGATTATAACATGCGGAAAATAAGAATGTTACAAAAAATAAATGTATAGACACAAAACACTCAAGTCCAAGGGTGAGAGAGGAAAGCTCTTTAGGGGAGAATGTTTACTAAAATGTAGGGGGAAAATGAAATGATAAAATCATCAGTTTACATCATCAATGTAAATACTGATTTAGACAAGACATAATAATGAATACAAAAAGCAATGGGTAAAAAGTTTTATGGAAACAGAGTATTCCCATAGTCTCAAACACCACCCCAGAGATCAGTTAGTACAGTGGACCCTCAAGCCCGACATACGAACAATTTGGGTTAATTAGGTTAATGGAAGCTTCATCTGCCTCTTGTTATCTATAGCACCTACCTAGGTAGACATCCAGATCTCAGCTGTATTGACTTATAACCAACTTGAGTTACAACCAGCCCCCGGGAACCACCGACTGAGTTCCTAAGTCAAGGTTTCGATGTAGTTACACAGGATAAACAGCACAATTAGTTAGTATAGTTAGAAACTAGCTTACTAGTTAATATAGAAAGATCTGACAGACGTCATCCTTATCAAATGTTCGAGTTGACAATCACTAGCTGGGCATGGTAGCAGGAACCTTTACTCCTATTGATCTGGAAAGCTGAAGCAAGAGGACTACTAATTCAAGACCCACCTGGGAATTTAGCAAGCTCCTTCCTCAATAATTTAAAAAGGGACTGTTTTTTGTCTTTCTTTCCTTAGGAATTTGCAAAATACTTAAAAGAGAGAAGGGAATGCCCACAGTTTTGGCCTCTAAAGACAAACAGCCCAAGACATTTATATGGCTAAGTAGGTTTATATCTTTTTTAAGATATGGAATAAAGCCCCTGCTCCTTATCTCTGAAAGCTATATATGTTGACCAATAGAATCTAAGGGTTATTAATAGCAATTTAACAGATTTATTTGAATAATGGGGCTAGTATTGCCCTTTGAGTAGTGGGAATATGATTTTTATTGTTTTACTTTTATATTTTCAAATTTTCTATAATATGTCTTAGTACAATAGTTAGATTTATGTAAAATTTTATCTTTTGTATTGTTTTCACGACTTTAATGAGCCTATATTATTTTGAGAGTTTAGAAAATCAAAGAGGTCATTGGTTCCCTAAAGTATTTAAAACCTCTTTGAACTTTACAGATTGAGGGAAAAAAAAATTAAAGTTACCAATGTAACAGAAAACTGCTAACTAGTAGCTAGAAATAGGAAGATTTATTTCCCCTCTCCCAGCCCTCAGAATAACTCCGGCTGTTATAACCAGTGCAATCAAGGTAGTTTTAATGAAGCCTTTGCTTGAACTTGTTTTCCTGATGTTGTCTACTAATTTAGTTTAATAACAAGTTATGCCAGAGGCTGGAGTATTGTTTTTTGGTACTTTTTCCTTGTACTAGTACATGTTTGCAGTATATAATGATTATATTTATCTTGGGGAGCTGGCACATGTACATAACACATTTCAATTCTTTTTACATCCCCTTCCCTTCAGCTCCCCACTTCCTTCACTCCATCCCTCGGTCCCTTCGCCTTTGCCATTCCACTGGCTTTCTGAATGGCACTCTGTTAACATCCCTTCCTCGGCCCTTTGTGTAGGGTGTCTTCTACACAGGTCACCATGATGTGCATTAGATGAGCTCCATGACGGGGACACTGCTGGCTTTAGAGAAGTCCATGGGACCCGAAGGAAGTCCAGAGGTGCACCTGCAAACAGGGCTCCAGACAAAGTGGTTTCCCATACCACACACTGATTGATTTATTTCATCAGATTCTTTCTCCACCAGCTGGTGGTAGAGTTGGAGGAAAAAACAAACAGAAAAATAAAGGCTGGAGAGATATTGCCCTTGCATGGAAGATGATTTTAGTGGCTGTTAGGTTGCCAGTGATGCCATGTGCCTAGCTTTCAGTTATTGGGGTCTTGAAGGTGGCATAGTGGCTGGGTGGCTCCCAAGTCATTCTGAGATGTTTCATATTATCTCCAAAGGAAGAGTTCTGTTCCTCACAATGTGAGGACCCTCAAGAACACATTGCAACATGAAAT